TACGAGTCGGCCAAGGCAGTGCTGGAGCGCGCTTCCAAGGCGGAGGGACAGATTGTGGCGCTGGAGAAGCGGCTGGCGGAGCAAGACACCAAGATCGCCAACCTGCAGCAGGTGTGTGCGACGCAGAAGCAGAAGGCGGCGCAGAGCCACCAGAAGCTGGCCGAGGGCGAGAAGCGCGTCAAGGAGCTCGAGGCCAAGGCGGACGAGCTGACCGAGGCGACGGCTCGCCTGGGCGTGCTCGAAGGCGCGGCCGCGGAGCTTGGAGGGGTCAAGCAGCAGCTGCACAAGACCGAGCAGAGGGAAGCGCACGTGCGGGCCGAGCTCGAGCAGTACGATGCGCGCTTTGGCGAGCTGGAGCGGGAGCTGGTGGAGATGAAGGCCAACTTTGTCGAGGCGGCGACGCACGAGACGACGCAGTCCGAGCTCGCGACAAGCCAGGCGCTGGTCGACACGCTGCGCGCCCAGGTAGCGGCGCTCGAGGCGGCGGCAGCAGCGTCACCGGCCGGCACCGACGGGTGGGAGGCGGTCGAGACGCCGCGCACAGGCGCGTGGGCGTCGATGCATGCGCCGCGCGCGCCCGCCCGGGTGTCGCGTAAGAACCTCGGCGTGCTCAGTGCGGCCACGAGCGCCGACACGTCGGCCGAGTGGGTCGAGGCGCCCGCGCGCTCGTGCTCGTTCGCCTCGACCGCCGGGAGCCGGAAGCAAGTCGAGGTGGACGAGGGCGGGTGGTGGTCGTAGCGCTGACGCTGCGACGACGCAAGAGCTGAGTGCGATGTAGAAATGGCATGCTGACAGAGGTGCATAGCGTGTGGGCAATGATCTGAGGTGTGTTGGGGGACAAATGAAGCTGGCATCAAGCTCAGCAACCGCAGGGCGGTGGTTTGCATTGGGTGAAATCAGCATGACCGAGCCAAGGGTGGAGTCGCCTTGTGGCAGCTGCTGAGATGAGCCTTGCATGAGCCGAGCAGCACGACAGTATTCGCCACGTTCTGGTTGCTTTGCGACGACATTGGATGCTGGCGAGTCTGTTGCTCGCACTCCACTGTTGCGATCGAGTTTTGTTCGACGACAGTTGGGGTGCTGCTGCTGATACTCGCTGCGCAGGGGGGAAGGTGGAGTGTGGAAAAGGAATTGCGGAACGCGGGCGGTGGGGTTGTATGCGAGATTGATTTTTTTGGCAGTCTTTGTTCCAGGAAAGAGTATGGGTGGAGGTTATTCCTTTTTCTGCTCCTTGCTTGATCCCCACGACCTTGGTATTGGGACTTGGCATTTGACGATGGCACGACGTTTGGTATCGTACAGTGACCTTGTTGATGAAGCCGATGCGTCTTTGGATGCGCATGGGGTGGTAGGTGGATCAAAGAGAAAGCGTGGACAGGCAGTTGGAGGTTTAAAGCATTGGGACGATCCATCTTCATCGTTGGACGGAGCAAAGGACGATGGAGCGGATCAAGTGGATGCGATTCAAGAGGGCTTGGATGAAGGGACTGGAGAGGGGTATGTATGGAAGTACGACGAGTGGGGACGACTTGCAGGGGATACCACTACTCCCGTCGAGCAAGATTATGATTTCGATGTGCCGTTTTCCATCCCATCACCTCCCCTTGCCTACTCTGACTTCAAAGTGCAAGAGGATGTGGAAGAAATCACACACCGCCCTCCTGTTGAGGTGGGAGGAGGCGGTCGAACGCTACTGCACTCGGAAATCTGGTCGGCCTCGGCCATTGTCGATGCATTCAAAGCCGCACACCACCAGTATCTCGCACACCACATCCCCACCAACACCAACGCAGCCCCCGCATCAGCACTGTGGACACAAGCTCCTCACCACAAAAGCCTCCTTGCACAACAAGTCAAAGCCGACACACTGCAAATCCTCGCCCAAAACAAACCCTCCTCAAAGTCAAATCAATCCTCGACAACATCACATCAATCCACCGCTACCCACGTCCCAGCCGCAGACATGGACGGAAACACCGCCTGGAAAAAAGCCGTCAAGACAGTCCAAGCCACCCCAAACTCCATAGGCAGCTCAGAATGGAACGCAGGCTACAGTGCCGGCTACAACGACGCCCTCAACCATCTTCCGCCACAGATCTGACAAGCAATTCCACAATGATACCCCCCCTCTTCGCACACAGCAAACAGCAAAGGAAGGTGGATTCGTACAAATTAGCCAGGCAGTGAGCAAGGTGTGAGGGACCGAAGAAGCAGAGAGCGAGCGCGATCGTCACTCGTCGACCAGCTGGTCGACGCTGGCGCTGCGTTCGCGCTCGCGCTCGCGCAGGGGCGAGGCAGCGGTGGCATCGGTCGGCGAGATCTCTGCTGCACTCGCATCGCGGCGGATGCTGCCGTTGGCGCCGTCGGCGCTCTGAGCGCGCTCGCCGTCGCTAGCGCGTGCGGCGCCGTCGACCGCGCCCGATGGACCACTGCTAGGCTCCATAGGCGACTGCGAGCTCGAGCTGGCCGAGCTGAGACGAGCATGTGCGGCGGCGCCTGCCGAGGCGGCTGCGGCCGCCGACGATGCGTGGTGCACCGCATCGTGCTCGCGCTTGCCCGCGCTCTCCTGCTCCTTGAACTTCTTCCAACGCGAGCCGCAGCGGTCGCACAGCGTGCCCGGCCCGTTGGGACCGCGGCGGAACTTGGCGTCGTGCGGCGCAGCGCAGTTGGAGCACGTGCGGTTCTTGGTGCTGGCGAGCTTGCGCACCGGGTAGCTGCTGGCGTCCGAGGGTGTAAAGTAGCCGCCGGGCGTGCCCATGGCGCGGCCGGGCGGCATCGAGGCGTGGTCGTGCGGCTCGCCACGCAGCCGCGCGAGCTTGCGCGAGCGTTCCATCTCGTCCATCTCGTGGTCGTACGGATGCGTAGACGAGTACGGCGTGGCGCTGTACGAGCTGGCGGATGACGTGGACGGGTAGGTGGTGAGCGCGGGCATCGACGACCTCTCGCTGCTCGAGGTGAGGTAGGAGCTGCTGGGCGGCGGCGGCGAGCGCGCGCCCATGCCTGCGTAGCGTGCCGACATGCTTGGGCGATGCGCCGACGAGACGGGCGCCATGGCGTACCGATCGGCGCGCTCGCGCTCGTCGGCGTAGGCGTACTCGGCCTCGACGGCTGCATTGGTGAGCGGCATGCGCGTCAGGTGCCTCGGCTCGGCGTCGTGGCCGTTGTGATGCGCATCCGGATACGCACGAAGGCGCGCCGCGCCAGGGTGCGCGTACGACGATGGTGGCGACATCTGCTCGGCCAGAGGCACGTGGTGAGGACGCGAGACCAGACTGATGGGCGGACCGGAGGGACCCTCGGTGGTGACGGTGATCGAGGCGGAGCCCTCGCCGTGGGGCACGTTGACCGAGACGCCTGTGGAGCCGGGCGCGCTGGAGCGTGGCTCGTAGGCGTTTCGAAGCGGCGGCTCGGCCTCGCTGGGACGGGGTCGCTTGATGCCGATCATGGATGGTGCAGGCTGTGGCGGGATCCTGGAACCATGGCTAGGCTCTGCGGGAGCGGCGTGGTCGGGGAAGCAGTCGGTGCGATCGCGCAAGGGAGCGTTGGGAACGCCTGCGAGGTCGAGACGGCGTGCGAGATCGTCGCGCTCCTGCTCAGCGTGGCGAGCCCGCTGTGCCGAGCGCTCGAGCTCCCTGCGGAGCTTGTCCAAGTCGGCGTAAGCCTGGGAGCTTTCGGCGGCGCCTTCAGAGTTGATGGTGTAGGTCATGCGTGCCTTGACCAAAGCGCGGACGAGCGGACGGACGACATCGTCGAGGTAGGTCTGCTCCAAAAGATGTTCGCCCAACGAGGTGGGGATAAAGGTGGAGTCGTCGCCGGTTTCGGGCGCCACGCTCGCACGGAAGCGGCCGGGAGGATGGTGGTCGTAGTGGGCACGGGTGGCGGCGCCACCGTCGTAGGGGATGGAACCGGAACGCTTGGGACGCGACATGAATGGCAGGTCCGAGTGGCGGCCAAGATCGAAGTGGGGCGAGTTGATGAGCGGGGTCGAAGCGGCCATCGTGGGGAGTGTGGCTGGAGAAGCGGGGAAATGAAGGTCTAGGATCTGAAGATCCCTTTAGTCGATTCGTGTATGTTCGTCCAAAGGAAGCAAGCCGACCACTAGGGAGTGTTCACGTCTAGATTTGGTGATGAGGTAATGGTGGGAGGAGCAGGTATGCACGCTTGTAGAACAGCAGCGACAAAGCTCCCGATTGAATCGGCTGATGTGCGAGGATGCAATCTGAGAGCAGGACGTTGTCTGCTGGTCAACAAGACGAAGCGGGATGCGTTCGATCGGATGATGTGAGGAGGCGGCTCAGAGGACGTGGTGTGGTCGAGCTGGTGAAAAAGACGGGCAGATCACAGGCTAGGCAGAGCGGAATGGCGCGTATATCCTGCCAGAGCCGAATGCGAGCTGTGCTGGCGTTGGTAGGGTGCGATGTGGGTGAGGCGTGTGTAGGACGAAACCAAGGCGGGTAGGGGCCAGCGCTGAATGTGTCAACGACGATGGCCGTTGGGGGACGCTGGATATAGTCGATGTCTAGGCGGCGCGGATGGCTGGCGTGCAAGGATGATGGTGGAACGATGACGATTAGGCGGGGGCTGCAGGGCTCAGACGAGATGGAGCGAAGCGAGAGGGTGCCGCGCTAACCCGATGACGCTGGAGGAAGGGGGACGCAGTAGAGAAGGAGGCAGCGAGGGCGGGAGGAAGGGAGTCACACCCAGAATTGTAAGATGGTGGGAGGGAAGGAGGGGGAGGGCAACGGAATGAAGAGGCCCCTCGGGTCGTACGATCGAGGGGAGCGGGTGCGGGAGCGGGTGCGGCACACGGAGGCGTCGGTGAAAAGCGAGTTTGACAAGGCTCAGAGTCGGACAGCTCTAAAGTCGGACGAGGCGAGGCAGGCAAAGGCTGGCAAAGGCTCGCAAGGGCAGAGGGCACAAGACCGAGACCGCGACCGAGACCGAGACCGAAGCTAGGCGAGGCGAGGCGAGGCGAGGCGAGGCG